TTTGGAAAAAAACTGAATATTCTAGACTAACAATAATAGGATTTTATAATGAACAAATTGTAAGAAGTTAATATAAAATATAATATTTTTTTTCTAATATATATAAAATTACAATCATTTTTAGTTATAATATCAAATATTGATTATTTAAAAAATAATAGATGTCATAATATAGAAAAATAATTTTAAGAAAAATATTCTTTTATTTTATAATAAATTAAAAATAATATATGTATACTTAAAATTTATATTAAGAATCAAAGATAGTAGCTTAATTTAAAAATAAAATTCTAAATGATATATAAAAAAAAAGTAGTATTAATAAAAAATTTAATAAAATTAATTTATTTGGAATAATATATCTATTTATACAGTGTGTATAGCCTAGTTCCAACAAATGCATTTTTAAGCGACCAAAATTCAAAATATCGATTTTTTATCATGTGATCTATAATCTTGCAATATTATTGGTTCATACATATACATGTGATAACATCACAGATCATAAGTACCGTAGTTTATTATATTATGATTAGTTTATCATAAAGTTTAATATATTCAATACAAAATAAAATGAACAAATAATTTCTTAATAATACATTTTTATTGTAATACATTTCTATTGTGATATATTTCTTTATAATACACTTGTGATTTTATTTCTGTTTGTTACATTATTAAACAATAGAAAAATCATCTAATTGTGATTATCCTTTTGAGATACCAAAAAACCTATTGAAGAGATTGATAAGGAGTTGGTTGATGAGACTAATATAGAAGAGTTAGATGATAAAAATAAAACTAATATGGAAGAATCGGATAATAAGGATGAAACTAATATAGAAGAGTTAGACGATGAGATTGAGGATTGTAATTGGTATAATAATATTCAAACTGCTTTTGATAACCTAATATTAGATCTCAATAAAGAAAAAGTTAATAGTGAGGTTTGGGTACGCTTAAATGGCATTCAACTTTACCTTCAACTTATAAAATCCAACAATTCAAAAATAGATGCAAGTGAGATTGTTGCTAATGCAGCAGGAAAAAGAGTATACCATGCCAGATGCATTCGTTCATGGGCAAACGATTATGTAATGATATATAAAATTCCTTATTCTCGTCGAGAACATCATGCCAAAACTTGGAGTTTTCTTTGGAATGAAGACATTCTTCTACAAGTAACATCATATATTCGAGAATATAAATAGGATGTTACTTCACAAACATTAATGGCACAAATGAATGAGATTATTTTACCAGGAATTGGATTTGCATCACCACCAACTATTCATCTTAATACTGCAAGAAGCTATTTAAATAAACTTGAATATGTATATACTAAGGTGAAGAAAGAAATATATATGGATAGGCATGAAAGAGAAGATGTGGTAGCTTATCAAAAAATCTTTTTAGAACAAATGAACCAGCTTGAGGATAGAATGCCCATTTTTTCTGGAAACAATTTAGAAGAAATAATGTAGCTGGATAGAAATATACAATCACTTATCCTTGTCACACATGATGAATGTATCTTTTCAGCTTATGATGGAAGTCGAAGTCTTTGGATTCCAAATGGAGAACAACCATTACGAAAAAAAGGTAATGGATGTTCAATCCATGTCAGTAAATTTTTGATTGATGTTTGTGATTGACTTATATTTCCAGATAATATGCAAACATCAAATGATTCTCTTAAAGAAGCCTGTGTAATTACATCCTGTGTAATTACATATCCAGGAAAAAATAATGATGGATGGTAAAAAGCTGAGGACTTAATAAAACAGATGGTTGAACATGCTATACCTATATTTGAAGCACGTTTTCTAGGATGCTAAGCCTTATTTGCATTTGATAATGCATCAAGTCATGCTGCTTTTTCAGCTGATGCACTTATTGCTAAACGTATGAATCTCAATCCTGGTGGGAAGCAACCAAAGATGCATAATATATCTTTTGGTGAAGGAATTTAGCAAGACATGATCTTTCCAATAGATTATCATATTCCTAAATTGTGTAGACAACCGAAAGGATTAAAACAGGTTCTAATTGAAAAGGAATTGTAACCAAATGAGGGATTAAAGTTAGAAGAAGCATGAAAAGTGATGGGTCAACAACCAGATTTTTTAGCATAAAAGGGACAATTAGAAGAAGTCATTACTGCAGCTAGGCATCAAATAATATTTTACCCTAAGTTTCATTGCGAGCTCAATTATATTGAAAACTTTTGGGGTGCAGCCAAAAAATATAGTCGATCACATTGTGATTATTCATGAATAGGATTACAAAAAACTGTTTTATTAGCTCTTAATTCTGTCTCACTTACAACTATTCATCGGTATGCAAGAAAGGTATTTCGCTATATAGATGTATACTGAAAAGGTTTAACAAGTCAGGCAGCAGAATTCGCAGTTAAAAGTACCATTCACATCGTTGGGTTTCCGATTCAGTTTTACAATCAATTGATATTAATAATTAGTTTCGTTTGGGACAAGTTATAAGCAAAAAGAAAGAAAAAATTTAGTGATTTTATGAATACATATCAGTAATACATAGCAATTAATAAAATACTTAATAAACAACAGATACGTATCATTTCCATTAAATATGTTCCTAACTCCATGATTCTCTTGTTGGTTAAGACAATCAATTTAATTCAGCATGATAAATTCATTGATATCAGTTTTTAAAATCAAATTAAATAAATTGTCAGAAAGTTAAAAACATATAAATAAATAATCTATAATTGTTTACTTATATGACCTTGAACATTTAAAGAACTTGATTGATCTACTTTCTTTAGGAGTTCCTGCATGTTGTTGTTCAATTAAACTTATAAGTTCTTTTGGTCTAGCACTAAGTATTATTGCAATTTCGTTTCCATTTTTGTAAAACTTGAAAATTGGCCTAAATAATATATACATAACTGTATCAGCGTAAAGATGCCAATTTGGATAAGGTCAATTTACATTGAATTAACTCCCTCTTTACTAAGACTTCCCTGACTTGGTCAACATCGAACTAAAAAAAAAAAATTTGGTTAAAAATCTGGTTAAAAATTAAGATACATATAGAATTCAAATTAGATCCCGCAATAATTCGACTTGAACAATTTCTTACTTTTGCAAAGTTAATATATCTAAATTGCATACTTAATTTTTGAAAAAGTGGCGTGATCGCATGATCCATACAGCGTGAAAATCGACAACTGTCTGTAAATATGAAATAAGAATTAATGTATTAAAAATGCAACGAATGTAATAATATTATAATATAGTAACATACTAACTTTTGTGATGCAATAAGTTCATTGAACTCAGTCAAGTTAGTAACAGTTTTAAAGTAAGACATTATTCTAAAACTTTGCAACAGTTCTTATCCTAAATTTTGTATGTTTTAAAAAATTGTGAAACAAAATAGGAGATAATGTTGTTTTATTTCCACCAGTATCACAAAAATGCAAATTATCTAATCAATTTTAAAAATTTTTATTACGTAAATCACGTGTAGAATGGTTAAAATCGCTGATTTAATAGTAAAATATTTCAATTTTAAATTGCTACTACTCTATCAAAAATAACTTTATAGAAAATCTAAAATCGTAGTTTTGTTTAGCTTGAGCTTCTCTATCATTTTACGATTCTATTTGATGTTTATCATTTTTTTTGAATGAGAAGTAGCAATTTGAATTTTATTAAATTTATATGTTGGGACTAGGCTGTATGCACTGTATAAACTATTTTATAAAATCCACCTAAAAATAATATCTATATATGTATAGAAAATGAATGAAACAATTTTGAAATTTTACAGCAAGTATTTGATCGTTATATAAAATTTAAAAAGATTGGAATTAGCAAAAGTTTATTTATTGATTAATTATCTTAAGAAAGTATAATTATTCAAATTCCAAAAGCATTATAAAATATTTAACTGTTGATTATAAAATTTTATTATAAAGAATTATGTGCATAGAATGCTATACTTATAATTACTAGTTAATTACATTTTTTTTTTTAATTTTACTTAAAAAACATCATAAAATTTATTAATTTTTTAATAACATATTTAAAAATATTTAAAAATAATTAAAACTGATTTTACTTTATAAATAAAATTGATTACAGATTTGTAGGAAAAATAATTAAAGAGATAATATAAAAAATAATAGTTTATTTGATTTATTTATAATACTTTACATTTTTCTAAATAAATCTTTTTATTTTATCTTATTTATCTTTTTCTTTTGTAAAAATATATAATAATTTTATTTTTTTTTTTATATTAATCTTTTTTTCTAATAAAATTATTTCTTTTTTTTTAATAAGAAAATAAAAAAATTTTCTGACTTTTATAAATTAATAATAAAAATTTTAATAATATATATATTTAATTATAAAATTTAGTAATAAGAAAATTTAACTATTAAAACTTTTTTTTTTGATTTATTATTTTAATTTGATATAATAATTATATAAATTTTAAAACAAATTTATAATTATTATTAATCTTAAAAATTAATTAATTTAAAAATAATATGTAATTAATAATATAAATGAAAAAGAAACATTTAATATTAATTTTTAAATAAATATATCTTTAAAATTATATATATAACTTAAAATGTAATATATTTTCTATCTTATTATTCTTTTCTTAATAAATAAATATAAATAATTTAATATTATTCCCCTTTACGGATGATTTTAGTATTTTATTTATAACTTTTAAACATTTTTTACATTAAAGATTTTTTAATGAAAAATCAATTTCATCAAAAAATCATAAAAATCCTGTTGTTAAAGGATAAAAACAAATTTTCTATAGTATATCCGAATTACAACAAAATATATGCATATAATATATAATATAATGTATATAGCGAATAAATTTCTATTTTCTAACATAAAAAAAGTGATATGATATAAATCACAATTGCGGGATGCAAATGAAAAAAAATGCATATCAATATAAAAAAAATAAATTTAATAATAAATTTCTTAGAATTTCTGCTCATTCAATAAAAAAAAATAAAATAAAAAAATAAAAAATGATTAGAACATTTGTTAAGATTAAAAAAATCTTTTTTTTTTTTTTATTGATAACGAGCTGTATAAAAAAATTACTTACCCAATTCTTATCTACTTCCATAGCCCACTTAAATTTGTCGCGTAGGCTTCTATTGAAGATTTTGTCAATCGGAACTTCGTATTTATAACACCAAGCAGCCGAAATACGAGGATCAATATAGTTAATCTTCGAAGTTCCTAATGCAGTAGTCTTGTTTTCTTCCTTTTCGACCTTGGTGAGATTGGTTGCCTTAATTTTTTCATTGATTTTTTCAATTTGACTTTCAACTTTATCAACTGTTTGATTTTTCTTCACATCGATTTTACCCGTCTTGCGTTCTTTAGTTAATTGCTTCGTTTTATCCTCGGCATCCTTGAGTTGAGCATTTAATTCACTTTCAGGTAATGATTTCTTGCCCTCCTCTGTGCGTTTCTCATTATCTTTTTCAAATTTTTTACGAATTCTTTCCTTGTCCTTTTCCTCCAAGTGTTTCTCGTACTCTTCACACCACTCTTCGCCTAAATCCGACTCCGGCTCATCAAGTTCAGGTCTTTTCCTTTTCAACTTAGGATCCAATGTCAACAAAGTTTTCTTAAGTCTCATCTTTTGATATTTAAGAGCGCGTATCTAGTATAATAGAAATAAATAACGTAAAAGGTCAACAACTTTTCAAAAAAATAAAAATATAATAACGTACAAGGTTAATAAAAAAACTTCTTTTTACCTTATCTTCAATTCTATTCATTTGATTATCGAAAGTTTTACTCACTGTACGTTGATGATTACATAGGATAGCCACTTCACGGTTTGCCCGATTATACGCCAAGATCTTTTCGATAACAGTTCCATCAACTGGAGTATTTTTGAGTTGTTCTTGAAAGGTATACGAAGCATTATAAGTACGAAACACTTTCGCAGTTAAACCTTCCATATATGAAGAAAGGTGTTTGTTTAATTCTTGTGTCTAAATGACGTGGAACGACAAAAAGCCATTAATACAAAAAAAAAAAATCTTATGAGACGACGTAAATTAATAATATACTTACTGTTACTCTGTCAAACAGTTGATCTTTTTCGGTTTCACTGTTCCTTCTAAAAATCCTAAGATTTTTATAGACTTGAAGATCCACCGTTACAGTATTCTGATATCGTATTGAATCTTTACCCAGAAAGTCAAAATGCACTATATTTGGAGGCTCAAGTTTTATATGTTCAAAACGAAGTGAGCAACAGCCTACCGTATCGGCTTCTTCGCCTTCTTTTTTCTCGTTTCCAGCTCTAAGTGCTAGACGGTCAATAAAATACATTGCAGTAGCACGTTGACGTGTTGCAGTTGTTTTGCTCTTCATATCTCTATTATAATCTTGACGAATTTTTGCAACAATGTCCTTTAAACAATTAATTAGATTGTATTTCATATTAATGAGGCTATCTTTTAAAAACATGTGCACAAGAAAAAGGAAGTGTGTAATCACCTTAAGCTCGCGAGCCTTTTCAAATTTCTTAAAATCACTCTGACCTTTTAGTGAACTGTTTGCGGCTAAAAATACATATTTAATATTTTCGTTAACATTTTCTTTCCATGTTGCAAGCCAAGTTACTGTGTTATCGTGGATAACTTTATTCCAACTATGACCAGCTGGAGGCTCGGGAACTTTTACATCTTTGCCAATATTAATAGTTACTTGTTCTGGCTGAACTCGAAGCTAATCAAAAAAATTCGTGATACGATTAATATAAAAAATATCATTAAATAGAGCAAGGATATAATTACCTTCAATGAACCTGTCTTTGGATGTTTACCACGACCACGGAATAACCCGGGAGGTTCAATTCGGAAATTTCCAACTTTTTGTTTACGACCATCAAGATAACAAAAGCCATATTTCTCTTCCAACTGAAGTTTCTCTTCTTTTAGTTTTTGCTTATCCTCCTTTGTCATGGCTTTTCGTTTCTCTTTCTCACGTTCAAGATGATCGAAGATTGGCGCAAAGTCACATTTTTCGAAACTCTCAATGGAAGGATTCTGCAAATAAAAGTACTCGTTAATAATAAAGAATTTTTTAAGGCAATTTAAAAATAATTTTTATTTGTATCAAAAAAAAAAAAAAAAAAAAAAAAAAAAAAGGAATAAATTACCTTGCTGGACTTTGCCAAAATTGTCTTAAAATCTCTGAAAAAATTTTCATTGAACGTTGGATTTTCGACGTGTTCGGTTTTTATGACAGCTGCATAAAAAGTTGCGACTTCCTCGGCTTCGGGTTCAAGGTAAATTTCTTTGCCTTTAGATAAAAGTTGAAAAGGTTAGATCTGCAAAAAGTCGTGTCATCATAAAAGAATGAAATTCTTACCATTGTATTTCATTTTGATATTATGTGGAACATAATCGGGAGGGAAATATACTCCGTTATGTTCCAAAGTTTTCCATTTGACGGTACCATCACCTTTGGCATTTTCGGCTTCCCACCAACGATATTCCTCATCATCGTCATCATCATCTGATTCTTCGTTTACCGTCCTTTGTTTACCTTTCTTTTTTTGCGACATTTCCTCTTCTGTAGTTGCAGAATCTTCTTTCTTTCTTTTTCTTTGAGGACTAGCCTTTTTTACCGCACTTTTGGTAGCAGATTTTACCGGAACTTTTTTCTCACTTTTCTCGTCAAACTCAGAGTCAGAATCATTACGTTTTCGCTTAGCTTTAGTATCATTGGCCTGTGATTAAGAATAATTGAATTATTATCATTATATTTAAAATATAATATCATTCAAGGTAAATTAGTTAAATGTTACCTTTTGGGTCTTACTTGCTTGTTTGACTTGTCCCTTGGTTGTAGTAGCTCTTGTAGTTCTTTTACTAGGGGTCACTGACTGCTTTCCTTTATTCACTCTTTTTCCAAGAGGTACATCACTTTCGGAGTCGGAAGGTTCTACTTTAACTTTAACTGCTTGCTTTTTACCATTTATTTTCACCAAATTTTTAACAATTGGAACACTTTCACTTTCTGATTCAGCGTCTTTCGTTTCAACTTTAGTTTCTGTTTTAATTGCCTTTTTTTGTGTGACTTTGGAATCCCCTTCAGAATCAGAATCCGGTCGCTTTCTCTTTGCTTTTTTACTGTTCACAGCCTATTTATCATAAAAGAAAGGTAACAGGAAATTTTTTATTTCTTTTTTTTTTTAAAAAAAAAAAAATAAAAATAAAAATAAAAATAAAAAAAATGTGGAAGTATTTTTAAGTTAATTAAATATATATATACCGGTTCTTCTTTCTTAACGGGTAGTATTGTTTGTTTCGAAGAGGAGGTAGAAGCCTTTGGGAGTTTCCCCTTATCCGGCAAAGAATTGACCGTAGATTTAATGTCCTTGGCGGCTACTCTCTTGGAAATTGGCACGTCACTCTCGGACTCCTCCGATTCAATTATTATTTTTTTCTTTGGCCTGCGTCTTACCGGTTGATCTTCAAAGTCGTTTGAGTCTTCCTGTTTTATAGTTACATCTTTGGCTTGACCATTGCTTTTCTCGGTAAGCTTAACACCTCTTGTAGCAGGGGCTTTTCTACCATTTGTTTTGTTCATCCTCATTTAATTATATAAAAGAAGTATAAAGTAAAGGATCAAAAAGAAGTGCGTGTAAGAAATTTGGTAGTCGTATTTGTTTTCTCTTAATTACGAATGGTGAGTGGTTTAGAAAAAAAATTTTTTTTTTTTTTCTTTTTTTTTTTTTTTAGAACACGACCAAGAATTCTTAAACGCTGTTTATATTGTTGTAACCCCTGGATGAGATTGATGAAGACTCAGTTTTTTTTTTTCGTTTTTTTTTTTTTTTTTTCCTTAATTTGACAGCAACTAAATACCCCTACTACAACGTTTCGTTACACAGCTAGTGGCTTTGATTGATTATACATGATTGGATAGATTGAGTTTCTGGAAAAGAATCCGGACTGCAACTGAAAAAGTTCTTTTTTAATTGAAAAAGAGAAAAAATTTTTTATTTATGGTAATTTCATTACATTAAATTTCAGATATCCATCTATTGCTCGGTGACGTAAGTATAAATAATCATACAAGTAATTAGGCGCAGCAAACGGACCAGTACACGAGACTTTTGTTGGTAGGTACACAATCTTGACCTTCAAAGGTCTCATAATGGTTTTAAATGATTTTGATAAAGTGCATAATATCCGTGCTGTCGTGATTTAATCTTATTATGTACTAGTGTATCAATCATTGTGATATTGTAATGGCGTGGTGCGACCATTCTATAAACCTGTTTAGAACCAGACTTCCTAAACTTGGCATGGGCTGACAGATGTTTCGTAGATGATAAAAACGATTCGCGCCCTCTGAATTTTTTTTTTATTTTTGTCAGCTGATAATTCCATTTTGTCTACACTTCACATGAGAATGAATACTTTGTATTAATTATTCTACAAAATGTCTTGTTTATTTTATTTCATTATTCATTAGTTTAACAATTAAGAAAGGAAATTTATTATTAAATGTATGGAAATTTAATAATATTTCTAATTTTAAACGTTGTGCAACAATTAAATATTATTCTGCCAAGAAAATAGCAAATTAGCCTGGTTGCATATGCATATTCTTACCGGAATTATGAATCTCGTGATTTAGAGATAATTTCGGCAGAGGTTACGAATTCTATTTAAGGATTTCTCGGTCCTTTTTTCTTTTTTAAAAAAAAAGGTTCCAATTTCTGATTATCTTTTCAGATTTTAATCCGACAAAACTCACGTGATTGGTCACGTAATCCCAATTTTAATTCTTTCAAAGTTGTATCTCCACAAGAAGTATTTTTATGGGATAAAAAATTACTGATAATCATTCATTAAAAATTTTCATTTTATAAGTTCATCTTACTTGATCAATTTTTATAAAATGAATGTCCTCTTTTTCCATTATTAAATTTTTTTTTTTTTTTTTTTTTGATTTTCAAGTAAAAAAAAAAAATTAATAAATGTATATCTTCCTTTTTCTTTTCCCTTTTTTTTTTTTAAAAAAAAATATAAATAAATAAAAAAACTCCGAAAAGTTCTGTCGATCAAAGGCATTCTTTGATAAGTTACCCGATTTATACGATTATATTATGATCAGCGAAAGGGAAATTAAGTTCGGGAGTCCTTACTATTTTAATGACAGTAGAAATCGGATTCAACCGTTTAGGCTTAGATCATTATCACATATAAAGGAACTTATTCAACGTTTTTCATGATTAGTGAGACACTTGACAAAGTAAATCTGGTTAACCAAATGATAGTATTTGACGAAAATAAAAAATCCCCCTCCTCCCCCCCTTCCTTGTAAATCAAAAAATCAATAATAATTCGTAAACATTGCGATTACCACGTAACTGGAATATAGACAACATTTCTTAGTTTCGGAGGTTCTTCCAAAAACACCAGTAAGAAAATTGCTCCAATTTGTTTCATAGCCGCAGCACACATATATAAAATATATATTTATACTTTAAACCGAAACTTTAATTGAATTTATGTTGTACAACAGCGTCAACAGCAACCTTAACCGTGAAATGTTTTAGTAAAAAATAATAATCTGAAAATTTTCCTTTCCCAGAAACAACACCCTTTTCTTTAACAAGAAAAAAAAAATATTTATATATATATATATCCCTCGATATATTATAACTACGATATATATACGCTATTGCGAATCAAAAGTTTTATCACCGAATAAAACTTCTTTTTGTTCTAGAACAGACTTTATATAGTCAATATGCCTGACGATGTTTCTTTCAAAAGACAACGCGTTTCTAAAGCTTGCGATTCTTGCCGTCGTAAGAAAGTGAAGGTAAATCGACAACTTAATCTATAAACTTATGAACCATTCCAGGCACTTATCTATTCATATTCCGTTAATTCTGTTATCAAACCTCTTTTTAACCAAAATTATTACTTGATATCTTTAATTGTACATTTTTAGTGTGATGGTATTCAACCAGCTTGTGGTAATTGTACAGCTTTTAGCTTGGACTGTACATATAATGACACGACAAAGAAGAGGTTGGTGATTTTGAAAATAAATTTTTAATTATAATCATCTAGTATAATTATTTGGAAATATCAAAAATTTTCTGCACGATCTATTTCCAATTAAAAACATTTATTATGTTTATCTTATTAGAGGACCTCCAAAAGGTTACATCGAAGCTATTGAGACTCGATTGCATAGAATGGAATCCCTTTTGGGTGGACTGGTTCATAGTAGTGATCCTAGAGCTGAAGCTGTTTTGGCCGAATTAATGCAAGATGACTTACGTTCTCAACATAAAGCTGGAAAAATTGATTTCACAAATCATCATAATATAATATCAGTCAGTACTTCTAATGATGGTTCACAACTTGAACATAAACCTATTATTGATTCATCTAATCAAAGTTCTCCAGATAGAAAAGATAGTCCGATGATGGATGATTTAAACGACGTTATGGGTATCCTTAGTATTGATGAAAACAATCAAGTTAGATATCATGGAAGGAGTAGTGGACTTTATCTTTTAAAGAAAAGTGACAAGTACAATAATGGTATTTTATCAATCAAAAATCGTTCAAACTGGGGTCATACCGGAAAGGTGATTGCTTCTGCTCAGAATTTCGACTTGTTAAAACGTCCGGAATTGACAGAATTACCTTCACAAGACATATCCGATCATTTGTTGGAACTTTACTTCACTCATGTTCACCCGCTATTACCTTTTGTTTACAAGCCACGCTTTTTTGATCAGCTAAAAGATAAAGATCACTTACCTCATCTCTTGCTGAATGCGATTTACTCATTTGCTGCTTTATTCTCGGATAGACTTGATATTCGAAGAGATCCCGAAGATCATACCACAGCCGGTGAAATTTACTTTGATCGTGCAAAGTCATTGCTAGATAACGATTATGATAAAGCACGCGTATCTACTATTCAGGCTTTGTTGATTTTATCATTACGAGAATATGGTGTTGGTAAAGTCACAAGAGCTTGGCTTTGGTCTGGTATGGCTGCTCGTATGGCTCAGGATTTAGGGATGCATCGTAATAACGAGAAATGGCATCCAATTAATTTGTCTCGTGAAGAACGTGAAGAACAGAAACGAGTATTTTGGGCCTGTTTCGTACTTGATAGGTAGTTAAGATATTTTAATTACTGAAATTTATTTATTTCAAAGCGGTACTATATTCAATCTTATAAATTTGATAATTTATTTAGGATACCAAGTGCTCACTTAGGTCGACCATTAGCTATTGATGAAAAGGATGTTGATGCAGCACATCCTTCAGAGGAAGAAGATGATGAACATGAGTCACTTCCATTCAAAATGGAACATGTAACAGCTTCATCAACTTCTTCTCCAATATCATCAAGCTGTAGTTTAATGGGATCACCGGCGTCATCAAATAATTCACATCAATCTGCTAAAGATCCAAATTGTCAATCACATGCTGTATCTCGGTTTAATCATTTACTTAAACTTTGTGAAATCATGGGTCGAGTCATACAAAACGTATATGCTATTAGAAGCACACATGTTTCTATGACAACGGATACTGTCCTTTCTATCTTGGATTCTTCTCTTACTTCATGGTTTATATCTTTGCCTCCACATTTACAATACAATCCTTCTTCAGATAACCCTTCGGACGCCCCCACACTTGTTCTTCATATTATATATTATTCCGCTTTAATATTATTACATCAACCTTATTCGGTAGGACAACAATCATCGTATAACATTTGCTCTCAAGCCGCGAACGCTATCACTGAAATAGCAGATACGTTAATGAAACGTAATATATTGAGGCATACATTAAATGTTATTGTTTATTGTGTTTTCATATCAGGTGTTATTCACACATATATTGCCGCACAAGAAGACACTTCGGTTTCTCATCCAGCAAAGGTGAATCTTGCTAAATCGATAAAGATATTAAATGAGTTAAAAAAGTTTTGGCCAACAGCAAACAAATATGTAGACCTTTTACACGGATTAGTAGATTTAAAAGACGTACAACTAGATTCTTCACCAAGTTTGAAGAGCAATATAAGTACAGACGGAGCTCGTTTATCGAGAAAGCGTGTTAATTCTTCCAATAATATTCAATCTCCTCCACCTGTGGGAGTTGTTGATAGACATGTGAGGCAGGCTCGATATCGTGCACAACACAGCCAACCTACGCAATCAAATAATGAAAATAATGCTTCTGTAGCATCACATAATTTTAATACAGTTCCTTCTTCGTTAAATCCGTCTGCGGCCTATCAACGGTTGCCATCAGTATTAAGTTTTAAAAATGCGTCAATAACATCACAACCTACCCAATTTAATTCTCCAACATTTACTCAACAACAGCCAACAAGGCAACAGTTAAGGCATGATTTACCCGAGTCAGCACAAATGTTTAATAATACGCTTGGATTTAGATACATGGCATCAAACGCGAATGAACCACAAAGTCAACCAGCGATCGGTGATACGGATCCCTATGCTGCTCCCGGTATGGCAACGAATCATAGTGTCGGAAATAGTGCATTTGAATCATTAAATTCTGGATTTTGGGGTATCCCTCACAATGCAGATTTAGATGAATGGTCATCGTTTATTGGTTCGCAACAACTACAATCACAATTCGCTTCCCCACCAACATTACCATCTCAATCTGCACATTTACCGATTTCAAGAGGTGGAGTTCCTTCGGTTCCTTCATCCACGACTGGCGCGTCTTCATTACAACACCATCAACAACAACAGGTACTTATTCATAATGATGGAAATGATGTTAATATGTTTGCTGATAATCATACTTTGACATCTGGCTCTGCTGGAATGAATAATAATGGTGGAGGCAAGCGAGCTAGCACAACATTTAATAATTCTAGTAGTGGTGGAAATAGTAGTGGCACAGATAATTCAACAGTACCTTTAGCATATTATTAATTGATACAACAAAGGACTCTGAGCGAATAGGCGAAATTAAGCATTTAGCCTATAAGAATTTATTCAATTTTTTCATGAGCTTTGGGGGGTTTTTAAAAAAAAAAAACGTTTAAATATTTATTTCTATGGGAAGAAAGAGATTGATAAATCGAGCTGGTGTTTTTGGGTTAGAAATATGATTAAAGAAATGAGATTTTAAATATCGTTAATAATAAACCAAGATCACTAATATCTTGATTGGATTTTATTTTTATCAGTTTTAAAGAAAGATTATGGAATGTTGTGATTGATAAGATTTATATTTCAATAGTTTTTTTTTGAACAATAATTTAAAAAATAAGAAATAGGATTGTAAAAACTTTAGGAAATATAATTTATTTAGAATTCAGATTTATATTTATCCATTACTTATTCTTGTATTTATATTTTTTTTTTTTTTATTTTAGTTAAAAAATTTCATTATTTGTGTATTAATAATATTTAAGGGGTTTCTATTTGTTAAAAAAATTTTTCTTTCTAGGTTTATTTTTTTATTTATTTTTTTTTTTTATTGTATATTTTTTGTTTTTTTTTTTTATATATAAATATTCAAAAAAAAAAAAAAAAAAAAAATCTTAAAATCAATTTATAATGATTTAAAATATTATAGTATTAAATTAATAAATAGAAATTAAAATATGTATAAATTTTATATACCGGTATATAAAATAATTTTTACTAATGTACCCGTATTATGTGACATATATTGGTCATTTGTGTCACACTCCTCATTCTTTAGTTTTTACTATTTATTTCAGGAACTTTGAATTTTTTCGGTGAAAAATTCTTGTTTGTCACACATTATCTGTCACTTGGTCGTCATACATATAATTTCATGGTAAAAGTAATGTTAATGCCGGCTATATCACGTGATCCGTATATAATACAGCCGTGTACAAATAGAAATTGCCTTATTTTTATATATTTATTTATATATTATAATTAAGAGTAAATTTATTCATCGCGGGGGGATACTCCTTATACATCGCCTTTATATATATACCTAACCCTAACCCTAACCCTAAGCTAAGCCATATGACACTAACATATGTGACAAATAGGGTTTCACATATGAAAAAATTTCTTTGTCCCCAGAATATATATGAAAAATGAAAAAGGGATGGGGTGTGACACAGGTGACAAAAAGGAAGCAATGATATCGCGCCTGCAATGAATAAATTTACTCTATAATTAATATATATATATCTTTATAAAATTATAATAATATTCATATATTTGAACCTTTATTACCACAAGATGCTCTTTATAGTAATTCTCTTATCGAATATTATAATTGTATGATATATAATATAATATAAAATATACTGATTATTTTTATCATTACTAATTTTTTTTTAAAATCTTTTTATTTTAATTAAACTATTGCAATTAAAATACTAAGTATATCAAAAAATTAAATCTATTATGTTAAATTTAAACATTTTATAACAGGTATTCCATAACATTTAAATAAATTTTTAATTAAATTTGAATCAACAGATCTCATATAATTTTTATTTATTCAGCTAATTTTAAATATAATGGTTTTTTAATATGATTTGAAGGTGTAGTTTCATAAATTTTCTCTATTTGCAAGTTGTCTAAATAAAAAAAGGTAAAATTTAGCAAAATTATATTAAAACCTTATTAAAAAATCTGTGAAATTCTGAAAAAGATAAAACTATATCAAAGCTTATAAAAATGCGAAACTATATCAAAACCTTAGTAAAAATTAGCAAAATTATAGTTTAGATACTTTGTCAAATCCAAAATGAGTTTAAACAAGTAATCTTATACATGAACCTTTAAAATTAATCTTATTAGTATATATATATATAATATAAAAAATTATCTATATCTTAATTTAAAACTCTTATTAATTGCAATATCTAATGAATGTTAAACTATCAGAAATAATTGTTATATTTATATTTTTTATAGTAAATTAATTTTTAACTAAATCAAATATATGACTTATAACTTTATGATTTAAAAAATTTAGACATGATTTTGTCATATGCTAATACTAATATTTTTATATATTGTAAAAATTTGATTAAAACAAAAAGCAAAGACTAAAAAATAAATTATATAAAATCAACTGGAATGTATAATCAGCAAAAAATACAGATTAACATAATAATATTAATCCTATTATATATTTTGAATATGTCTTAAAAAAGGATTTATAAATTTGTTATAATGAAATAAAATATTATATCTAATATTATTAAGAATGTAGATCAGCTCAAAGATGCTTTAAATAATAGACTGTAAATTATTGCCTTTAAGAATATTATATTTAGCAAAGGTATTTAAAAGATAGTTATTAATAAGTTTAACTAAAATCTTTCTTAAACATTCTAAAAGAGTATATGATTAAGGTTGAATTCTCATAACTTAAATTTTGAAATATAATAGATAAAAATTAAATTCTATTCATATGAAGTCAAATTTTTGAAAGACAATAAAAAGTAATCTTTTAAAAATATATAATAATAAAAAGACTTAGGTATTTTAATATTTTATTTGATATTTTTGATAGACCAAAAGCTTTGTTATTAGGTAATGATCTAATAATACTTGTCTATTCATTTTCTATATAAGGAAATCCTAAATAATTAGGTTAAATATTTTTAAGTAGTATATAAGTATTCTTACAAAAATCTGATATAGCGAGATTAGAATATCTAAAACTAAACTATTTATTAAAAGTATTAAAAAGTTTTTCTTTTAATATTAATAAGGTTTATTAATAATTCTTTTTCTAAATTATTATTGTTAATGTAACTGTCTAATAAAATGTTAGAATAAGATTAATATAGGAAAGAATCAAATATAATTAATTGATTGAAAGTAAAATTATTATATTTTCTATTAATAGCTTTTTAGATCAATTACTCTTTATGTTATCTTCTTGAATTTTATAGTAATTAAGAATGAAAAAATAAAAATATAATCAATTGTAAAGTAAATAAAACTTTATATATATGTAAATCCTTAGCATATATAGATAATTGAACAAAATTTTAAGTATTAATAAAATGATAATTAGTGATATATTTGATGAATAATTTTGTATGTAAAGGTTTATGACTTTTGTATATATCAGTATTAAAATTCTCTAAATAATAATATAAAAATTCATAGAAGTAGTTTTTCTATAAAAATATGAATTTGTTAAAATAGTTTTTAAATAAAAAAATTTATCAAAATTAGATAAATACAGTCAACTTTTTTTACAACAAATTTTTATATAACAAATTTTACAATACAATAGATTTTCAGTGTCAGACAGATTTTTAAATATAAAAAAATCTTACTATATCAAATTTAGTAATTAAAAATTCATATTATGTTTAACAAATTAAAGTTAGAAAATTTATATATAAAATAACTCTTTTTATAATGAATTTTCTCTATAACGAATTTTTTTTTGATACAATGAAGTTTTGCTTAAAATGAATTTTACTAGATTT